TATACAACAATTTTGTTGTATGAATAAACATTTAAAAGAATGTGTGCATACGCACGAGAACCGGTTTCCATATTTCATAATTATAGGGAAAAAGGTGACTAATTTTTGCCAAACTTCTACGTCATTTGAACTTGGTTTGGATTTTATAAAAATATTTCATTTTTTATGTAAAATGCTATTTTTTTAATTCTGCACTTAATTTTTTGCAGTTAAACTGCTACTCCTGCAATTAGAAGAAAGAAGCTTGACTAGTTTTCTCCTTCGATTTTTGAAAATTAATTTTTACTAAGCAGACACTTTTAACAAAATATTGCACCCTAGGTATCGCGGAAGAGGCAAGATTACCTTCTAAAAGCCTACCTCCGCGCGTCGAATTATTTTTTTCCTTTACCTCTCCTCTCCTCTCCCTCCCTCTCCCTCCCATTCCTTCCATTACGCAAACACGAAATTGCAAATGGTTCAATTGAAAGAAGTTAGAAAGCAATAATAAAGCATAAAATTTGCCAGAAAATAAATATTTTGAAAGCAATTCGAAACAGAATTTCCTCTATGTTACTCCACTTCTTGCTCATTTCCCTTCTCATTGGGGTGAGTTTTCTAATCTTCTTTATTCAATCAAATCTCGCCTGTAAACAAGCTTAGAATTGTGAGGGAGAAGACTCCTAGTATATGAAAAAAATGGGGAAGGAGAGAGGGGGGGGAGGGGAGCGAGAATTAATGAGGCGTGAATCTCTGTGGTTGAGTGAAATGCAAGGGAGGCTAAATTCATTCAGCCAATCTGTTATTAATAGAAATGTTAAAGTCCAGAAACTTGTAAACAACATAGTGGAATCCTAGTTTTAGCTAAAAGTGAAGCACATTCTTTCTCTTTTAAAGTTTACAAATACTAATTCATTTTAAGCGGAAAGCTTAAACCAGTATATGATTGCAATAAATTGAAAGGTTTTGCAGACACTGGAAATAGAGTTCAATTTATGAAAAAATAAATAATTTACAAGGTCAATACAAATTGGGCTAAAATTGCATGGTTTTATATCTCTCCTCTTAACCTCTCATTTACCCCCCTATTAAAGCTACATCTACTCAGACTTAAAGAAGGGAAAATAAGACTTATTTTTGCTCAAACGACTGTTTTTTTAATGGGAAAATAATTTCACTTGTATAAGATGGGACGTGATAGTTGACTGGCTATGTTGTTAGCCATCAATCGCAGTAGCGGTTGCACTCGAGATGGACTTACCTATTATAGGTTTGAGAGTGCGAAACCAATAGTTGATAATTCGTTGAATGAGAGAAATATTTTTGATAGGACTTGCTAACATCTCTAATCATAGATTTTATTCATTCATTAACATGATTAAATTTATGTTTATTAACATGGATATTCTGCTAACCAACATCAATTTTGAGGGAAATGGAAAATAAGGAGATGATGAAAATTAGTACCGAATAAAATATTTGGGTTTAAATTCAATGATGAGAAAATCGTTTATGATAAACTTACTTGCAATTATGTTACCTGACAAAAAAACATTAAATTAAAAGCTTTATTATTATTTATTCGCTGAAAGTTCTTAATTAAGAGGATTAATTCGGTTATACAAATAACAGGTACATAAATTTAGATTTTAATTAAAAGGCATGGTTTGTCTTAAATATTTCTAACTCAATAATTGCAAAAGACTGTATTATTTTATTCTTTTAAGTACATTAACCTTTTAATATCTAAAAATAGATCATTGGAACTTTGTGCAAAAGACCGTCAAACCATTTAAGGGCTTAAAAATTAAATAAAATCGTTGATCAATTTTATATCATGATTTATTTACAACTCTTATGTTAGATTTTTAAAAGAAAGCGTAGATTTTAAAATCAGTGCATAAAGTATTAAAATGGTGCAGCATATGCACCCAAGCTCGGATCTAATTGGTATATGTAAAGGTTAACACTGAGAAACTGGGCATTTTACAAGGACTTTTAAGTTTATTTGTGTTCACCTTGTGTGAAGAGGAAACAATTCAGCAGGCTAATTTTCTTAGTGGACAAATTTTTCAACATCGTTTTCAGCAATAAATCCCATTTTATTGCTAATTGTAAAAGAGTCCAACCTCAAAGAAGACAGAGAACACGTAAGGTAGGCATCGCACGCTACTTAGCTTTCATCAGGCCTGGAACGTCCACAGGAATATATACGGGTAATTGCCGAAATTTATGGCAAGTGCTTACATTCCTTTGAAGTTCATTTTGAATTAAAGACCTTGATGGGCAAAGGAAATTTAATTGATGTCCCATAACCAGTGCAACCAACAAATTTTGATCGAAAAAAAATTGGAGTCAATGCTTGGCTTTGATCCTCGGTCAAAAGTACACAAATTATCACAGGAATTCTTGCATCCGTGTTTAATAGGGCACTTAAGCTTGAACGGTCTTAGAAATAAAAAATTTGTCATTTTTAAGCAACATTCTTGCTGTGGATGGGAATTTGACCGCCTGCAAAAATGTTAAGGCAAAGATTATTGATTGCTCTCAAATCAACACACAAATAACATTCCTAAGCTAGGCTTCACCATTCGGAAGCATCTTATATGCATTTTGTATTAAATACACAAAATAATACGGTATGTATTATTAGAGTTGTAAAGTAGAGAAATCAGCACAATAAGCCAATCATACAAGTCGTCTACACGCATGCCTTTTAACAGAGAGAAAGAAAGTGAGCATTATTTATAGGAACTAATAGAACAGACTTCTCCCTATGTAACCTACAGGAGGAAATGGAGAAGACCCATCTGATTCGGTGTCCAGCCCTAAAGACAACGACGGAAACCTAGAGATACTGGGAAGCCAGAAGACAGCTAATGAACTGCTATTAATTAACTCCTATATATGTACCCCCCCTTTGGGGGAAGCTGAAGTCAAGGTTTAAGGCCTGTAATTTAAAAAAAATATAACACACTTTTATTCAATAACAGAGGTTATACGATGGAAGCAATAGAGAAACATTATGTTTTTGTTAGATATGAAGTGATTTCCGATCTGATATGAAGGTTGATAAAAATATAAATGAGGAAAATCACTTTATCAGTGTGAAACTAACTTTCCTAGAATTTTCTTACCCTAAAATAAGGTAAATAAAGACTAATTTACTACGAGAGTAGAAAGATAAGTCTTTTTATACAAAATATATGACTGTAAATCAAGCAAACAAAGTCCTGTTGATCTTTATTTAATTACGGGCATTCAATTTCCGTCAATTTTGCAAATGATGTGGGGTTGGAAAGACGTTCTCAAGTGCTTTTTTCGGTTCGAAACTAAAGTCGACAAGCTTTTAGTTTACAAATAAAAACAATAAAAGAAATATTCTTGAAGATGAAAATGAAGCTTTTATCTTCAATTGAATTTTAAAAACGATGTTTTCTCAGGTTTCATTTTTCTGATATATTTGCTACGATGAAAATGGCAATTCGTTGCCCTATCGAGGGCTATTATAACAAAGTACAAAAGGTTAATTAATAAACCTGTAGGACATAAGTAATATGATTAGAAAGTTTCCCAATCATCGGTCTTCACGATGCAATTAAAAATAAATATAATTAAATTGTTAAAGAATTTATTTATTTTTGTGGGCGACTTTACCTTGTATATTGCTCCACTGAAGGTGGAGTTCAAATGCTAATATATTCAGATGAAAGGGAAGATAAAATTGTCAAAATTCATGGATGACAATTCTGATTGGTTACATGTCAACTGTTTAAATTTTTTTCATAAGAATCGTTTGAAAAATTCGACTAATTAATCTATGATTTGCTCCATGTAAGCTCGTGAATTAGTATTGCCTAGTCTTCATTTCTAAGTACAAATTCAAACAAATTTGTTCTAATTGTTACTTCGAAATATCTTTTATTATAACGGTTAAGCAGGTTAAAAAAGTTCCATTGACTTTAATAAACGAACGGTCTGTTTCCGTTTTGAATAAGAAAATAATTTACATTTTATTTTTTATATAATTCCATTTTTTTAAATGTTTCGTATTTGTTAATCAACCCGTTACCATTTCCACACCTGTAAATGTACTTATTAAAAACATCATAATTAAAACCACTGTTTATGATTTGCACTTTAGAAAATAAATTCTTCCGATCAAGCTTAGCCACTGTGAGTTTGATAGGGCTATTTTATTCCAATATGCTCAAGTGAGAATCCTCCATCAATTCTAAATAATTTGATGCGAATTCTGTTAATTTTCAATTAATTTTCATACTACCACCCATGATCCAGTAATTCACTATAATGCAAGAAGCAAAGATAATGTTTTTAATAAATAACTGTTCATCTGATTAATAATTCAATAGACCAGAGTTTTAAAAGAGACATTAAAATCCCCTCCTCTGTTCCAGATGTTTATTTTAAGGAAATAAATATTAGAATTATTAAAAAATTTTGAATCGTTAATTAGATGAAAGTATTTTGTACAATTTCAGTTGTGCCATTCTTTGCTAGAAATTTTGGGATATTTCTTCCTACTTTATTTTTAAAATGACTTCATACTAAACATCGTAAAGATTGCCCTCTACGCTAAGCTGAGATAATAATTTTGGTCTACAAGTTAGACACTTTTATTTTAACTTCTTTATTTTTAGTATCTTTTAAAAAATATAATGTTTAGGCTAACTATATCAATGAGAACTGAACATAATTTGATTTACTTAGCTAAGTCTTGATAATTCCATTCATCACGCATGTTTTCTGTCGATTTTATGGTTAATCAACATATGCAATATTGGTTTTACATATTTTCGAACAATATCTTGTCAAAGAAGTGTTTGTACAAAAATAAAAAACAATCAACATACCACTTGATAAAGAATAGAGAAATCTAGTGACCTGTTAATGCGAGTATTTTATTGCTTCTTTTGTTAAATTTTAAAAGTTTAAAGACAGTTATTATTAATAAAGGCAAAATAATTAAAACATGATATGAATCCGAAAAAATTCTCGCCTTACCCTAGCGTTGTCATGGTGACAATAATGTACCAGAATGCCGCAGGAATACTTGTAAATCGGGTGTCGACATCCGTTTTTTCAAGATAATAAATCACGGTTGCAAAAATTATCAAAGCCATTGCAAGGGAGAAAAGTAGAAAGCCAAGTTCCGAGGCACAGGATTTGAGAGTGTAACCCAGAATCCGAAGACCCTGACTATGCCGAGAGAATTTGAATATTCGAAATACTCGAAACACTCGAAGCGTCACAAACGCTCCAGAGAGATTTTTATTTTCCGGAAGGCCCAAACCAACGTAGTAAGGGAATATAGCGACAACGTCTATAATTGCCATAACTGAGCGAAAGAATTTAAATCTATCTGGAGCAGCATATAATCGGGCTAAATACTCTATGGTAAATATTAGTACACATGCAGTATCCAGGCAGAAGAACCCTTTGCTAAATCTTTCTCCACAGGAGGGATAGCGACCGGTTTTGGGATCAAGACCACAGGACACTGTTTCGATTATATTTGCGGTAACTGAAACTGCAATAAAGAAGCCACAGACGTAGTAAACAACGAGAGCCGAGGTGGAATATTGGGCATTTTCAAATATTCTCCATAAATGTTCGCGGAAGGTTTTGCAGGGAGTGAGAATAATGTTTTCATCTTCTCTGTCATCCATTAGCCTCTCACTAATGTCCCGCTTTCTATCACGGTACTCCTCATAACAACAATCACCCATAATATCTGGAAGAATACCAAAATAAGATAGCTCTTCGTCATAAGCGGAAACGCATTCATTCTTTGGATAGTGAAGAAGGCCTGTACGATAGTAATTAAGTATATGACGGAAAATATCTGGATCTCGGTCAAAAAAGTATTCTTGAGTTTCTTCATTGTAAAAATATTCCTTTTCGTCTGAGCCAAGTAGAGTTTCAGGAAATTTTTCGAGTGTGCTTCGATAAACATCAAATTTAACTCCACTAATGTTTAAATGAAGTAACTCATTAGTTAGTGTAGTTTCATCATTAAGCTTTAAGTGAGGAAGAGGATTGTTCGTTAATGGAACCCAGCCAAGAGCTGTTGCGCGAGTAAATGGGATCCAGGTAGACTGTTCAGTCATTTAAAATGTTTTTAATAAAAACATGCATAAAAGGTTTTTAAAATTTTGGTCACTGTGAGGTCAAAAATAATAATGTTTATATTGGAACATTAAAACAATATCAACCTTGAAACTTTAAAAGAGCCATTTTCCTTCGTCAGCAACTATGAAAATTGCTTTTGAAAATCAGAATGCTACGTGAGACTATATTTTTTATCGTATCGAGTTTTAAGACACATAATTTAGCAAGAGTAAAGATTTAATATTTCTCAGGTTATCCGTTATTTAATAAAAGACCCAATGAATTTATTTAAATTGATCTCAGTCAACTTGATTCATAATTTACATTTTAGCATAATATTGAATATCTCTTTAAAACACAAATTGGTTTGCATTCGAAATTTAGCCTAACCTGTAATTATTACCAATGTTAATCCTCAATTAAAATAGTTAACTGACATATTTGTGTGTCACTTTGTGCCCTTAAATAATTCGACAGCGGTTTAGTCACCAGTTTTTTAATAATGATGTAACCGCAGATCTGCTTTTTAGGTCAAAGTTAGATAGACAAGTTAAAGGTTATATAAATAGGAAAACAGAATCGTTCAGTTAAAGGTCCGTTTTTGGCAGCCTCATTCTGCATTGAGTTGAACGTATTTCGCATTAAACATAACTATAGTAAATATTTATTTACTTCTTGTTTACGTTTAGATGACTCCTGAGACGTACACAAGTGTTCATAGAATATATTTTAAACAGATTTTAAGCAAACGCATGATAGTAAAACATACTATGATGTTTTCTAAGACTACATGTGTGAGTCTTCATTAAAATATGTCGCTCAAAATATAATCAATGATTTTTCATTTTACATTTCTATCGCTTATATCTAAATCACTCTGCCTCATGTTTCAAACTATGTTTAGAGTGACATAAGGTTTCACAGATATATTGATATATTGCCATTTCACTTTTGGCTCGAAAATATAATGTATCTTAAGTGGGTCCATTAGTACATCGGATAGATACCTTCTTCTACAATGGTGCAAAACTTTTTCATTTATAATGATTGCAAATAATCTTTTTTATTTCAAGAACCGACGCAATAGTTAGCATTATTTCACTTTAAGGAAATGTTGCGTGAAATTTTGCATTTCTGTTTAAAGTTGTGGATTCGGAATTTATTACAAAATATTATAGAAATATTACACGAATTCTACAGATTACAACAGAAGGTATAATATAAAAATAACTTAAGCGTTTACCAGTTGGTTAAATGTAATTGCAAGTGTTTCAATTTAAGCAAAGATTATAATTATTATGTAAGAAATCATGATGAAATAAGTCAAAATACAAACCGATTATATTAACAGAAATATTCGTAATAAAACATATTTTCATAATATTTTGTTATCATTAAACAAATAGTTTCAAAATTTTTGCACATTTAAAATTTTGCTTAAATTATTCAAGACTATTCTTCCTAAAATTCGGTTCCCTATTTCGCACATTCATTGGTCTACAAATATCTAGCTTCTCATTGGCTCCTTCTCTCTTGCCTTTTGGGAAATGTCCCTTTTAAGCCGATAAAATCTAAAGGATTTATTTTATCAAATGTAGTTCTCATGACCATGCGTCACGAACATTGGAATCGTTTCTGTCAAAACACAAGTAATCGGTTAGCAATTGAAGCACTCCAACTATTTAAAGCCCATCTCAATGATAATCGTCACGATGACCAGCCCGGATGTGGACGAGAATTTTTGGATAATATTTTTATGGGCATTCGAAAAAAATTTGAAATTTCGTTATCCCAAAAATATTTCGTTTCAAAGGAGGATTGCACGAAATTTCACTGCTCTAAAGGTGATTCTCGTTCTATATAAGTATATTTATAAAACAAGTGTTTTTATCTAATTTAGTGGTAATTTAGCAATGATTTCTGCTTTATTTTGCAAAGATAGTAATATCTATTCCTGATAAACTATATTTTTGCATCTTTTCGCCATTGTGCTTCTTTAACCTTTTGTTTAGGCTGAGTTCAAATTAACTTGTTCACATTTATGATGCTTTTAGCTGCTTTTTCTAGGCTTGCACGTTATCCATCTTGTAGTAGCTATAACCATTTAGGTTCTCAATGTTTCATGGAACAAATTAGTAAAAGTGTGTTTTTATTTCTTTACCTACTCTCATCGAACTGAAATCATTTTTGATTTTGCACCGCATATCATAACTTCTTGTTTGTCATTTTTCTCCTCAAATATTTTTTGCTGAGTCATGTTTTTTCATTACCCGATTTTTATTGTGATAATTTTCACCAGGGCGAAGCAGTTGGTGATGATTTCGGAATGAATATTTTTTTATCAGCCCGCTCTCTGTCCTTATGCTTCTCTTAAATTTATTGCTCCCCATTGCTACTCGTCGTTATAGGACAGTCGCGGCTGATGAATCATTAGCTCCATGTGTACATGGGTGTTGACATTGTCCCACCTCTCTTATCATTTCTCTTTCATGTGCGTGAGTACTCACCCGGTGATTGGCAGAAGAAAGGGAACAACTAAATCCTGTCCGTTATATAATTATAATTTTATTGCATGGAGAATATCAGATGACAATAGTATTTCTGGTTTAAAAGGTAAAGGAGAAGTTGACAATACTTTGTCCAAATAAAAATTTAATTCTATTTCGGATATTAAATAACAATTATGTTTATGGTTGATGTAATGATAAAAATGCTATCTATGTCTTAAAGCTTTGGATTTGCATAGAATGGGCTCTCGTCTTTGGGGTTGTCAAGACAAAGAAAGTGACGACATCTCATTCTATTGCTAATTAGATTGGAGCCCTTTTTGACAAGAGCAAGTGAAAATCTGTGTTTGTTCGATGCGAATTGATTCCTCACTTTAAGTCAACTTTATTTGAAAAGGATAAATGTCACAAATGTACCAGGAAGACAATCAAAAGGAAGAAATCAGGTATATCATACTCGTTGGCAATATATTGGGTAGTCACTGATAATTATATTTCTGATTAATAGAATATTGAGAATCCTAACTGCGCCATTTATCGTTCATGCGCTTTAGTCTTTGCCCCCGAGGTTATCAGCAAATGGAAACGGTCCATTTCTTACAAATACGACAATTAGGTTTTAGCTGTTGTAACGACTGCCCATAAAATCGTATTTTTCTCCGTGGCTCTGAAATTGCGAATCATTCCATAATTTAATAAGTTTGGCGACTAGGTGGGTAAGGGAATCATATCCTTTGCTATAAGGTATCTTATCTTGACTGTTGCACCTAGTCAAACAAAATTGTGACTTGATTGAAATGACGCAAGCGAATGTAGCAGCAATCAGCCATAATTTTTTTGTGGCAAAATCATCGGCAGGGCAATGCAATGGAGCCTGGAAAAGCATAATAGTTTAAAAATGTTAGGCTTGTTTTTACTCTTCTTCTGTGTTCCTCCTCTATATTTCGTTATATTGACAGCTTTTGATGCAATAAAGCTGGTGTTTGTTTGGATGGTGAATGTGAACTAGTCCCACACTTAGTGAGCCATTTCACCTTGCATAGTTAGAATATTCCGAAGGTGTTTAGGTAAGAGGACGATTGTAGATAAGCCTCTGATTGATAAGACGCTGAAGAAGTTTGCTATGCGGATTGGCTTCGCATTATTGAAATAAGTCAAGTCATTTTTATAGGTTGGAGTGTTCACAAAAGTCTGGGAAGCAGCTGCAAGTAGAATGCCGTTAACGCCATGCACAGTTTTAGCGGCCAGTCTATTCATTTAGTTACGCATGCTGTTTATGATCATGTTTGATAGATTCAACACTTTACTATCTTAATCTTTAACTTCAGTGTGTTGATGTAATTTCCTGTATGCAAATGTTGGCGTCTGTTTAAAATTTCAAGTCGTCTTTGTTGCTTTTTCAGCACTTTCTATGACAGGATTTGGACTTAATTGCAATTTTAAGCGTGGTTTCTATTGCATCTGAATGGTAATTAGATATTTCTTTTGTTGTCTAAGTACCTAGAAACACGGTGTTCTTAATCGTTTTCTTATATAATAGTCATTCTGATAGGTTGTCTTTGATTTGTACTTGTTCACCTCGTCGGCCATATAGTAATCTGGAGATACTCTTCTCTCTTCTTGACATCTTTTTTTCGTTAAAGTTGGTTATTTTTGGATCGAGCCGAATTTGATTCTATCAATCTAAGCCTGGTGGTGCACGTTTTTGACTCTACACACAGGGATAGCACGAAGTTAATACCTGAATCTGGGAACCGCTGATGCTTAAGATGGGAGCTTGTGTCGCATTGCTGTGAATTCGGATTACGCATTATTGCATTGATTTTTTCTTGCCGCCTTCTATAGTACTTCTCTTCTTGTTAGAAATTTATTTATTTACTGATTTTTTTTATCCGAACTGTACTCTTCTTCCCTCTTCCCACCTCGATGCCTTGAAAATAATGTTCCACCCCACGAGCTTTTCATCTCCTTCCACTCACTTGCAGTGAATGTTTGATTTCTAGCATTTGTCTTTCCGGCTCCATTCAAATTCTCTATTTTAACTGGCACTAGATTTGCTTATTCCTGTCTGAAGCTATCTTATCATTGATTTGCCCATTTCTAAGTCGGTCTTATCCTAGAGAAAGCATCAAACATTTGTAGGCGCCTTGAAAATGATCGTTTCTATTTTTATTCCCTCCATCACTCTGTTTCACTATGGAAATTGTCTTTTTTTTCATTGAATCAACACGAATGAACCCATTAATCTGTCATTCTTTCGCTCTTCAGCCTCAACCACCTCTCCTAATCGTGATTGAAGAAAAAAGTACTTATCTCAGTCTTCTTTAAAAGGATTATCGGGTGTCTTAATGTTATTAAGGGGATGAAATTCAATATATCCACAAATTTTTGCTTTTTAATCTTGATTAATTTGTTCGAATTTTAGCTGTCCTCTGATATTTAACATTAGATGGTTTATAAGATCTTTAATCTGTCTGGTTTCTTATTTTCGTTGGCGATTTGAAAAATAGGGTGTTACTTATCGTGTTGTGGATTCTAAATTTCCTAAACTACATTTCTCATCTTTTTTCCGTAGTATCAATGCCGGTTGGGTTTCGACATTATTGATTTTCCAATACATTCTTCTTTCAGTTTCTTCTAAATCACGTCTACTCTGCTACCCCCAATCTTTTCTGTAGCTCATCAATCTGTCTTATTTTTCGTAATTTAACGACTCTTAATTCTTTCTCACTTCCATGAACATCGCTTTTAAGAATAACGATCAGCCCTATTCTTACCTTTGTAACTGCTCGGTTGCTAAGCTGCGATATTGCAAGTCCTAGTTATGCTACCGTTCGCTCAAACTCATACGAAGAGGTAAAGACAATGCAATCGCCCCCACCCCCTCCCCCAGTGCTTTTCGTTATTTATCGTTAAATCAAGGCTTCATATTGTCGAGGTTTGGTGATCAAGCCACACCTTGATTGTTGACACATTTTGGCCCAAGCAACTGGCAATCTGTCAGCACCATCTACACCCCCGCGTCTTGATGAGGAGAGTGGGCGACTTGGCGACAACGTGCCGGGGGGAGGGGAGGGGGGGGGCCTTGTTTCCAGACCTGGCATAAATACTTGAGTTATGAAATTGATGCTTGAGGGGAAGATTTAATTTATTTCATTTACAACTTGCTTTCAGTTTATTTATCCTAAATTATTTGGCCAGTATGCTTCCTACGCTCAAGGCCAGCTTTGAGACCATTTTTCCATCAGTTCTGTTTCTGCCCAATTAAGTTCTTTAATGTTGAACAGCACGTACGCATTCTTAAACTGCCCGGTATTGTGGGCTTAAGTTTTGGATGATAGTTATCTGAGCAAACTCAATCACCATCTTTACACGTCACTAACTTCATGTTTTGTAATGCGTCCTTAAATATATTCATTCATTAATAAAAGATGTCTTTGTTTAGTTCTTGCCTTTATTTGTTCATTAGTGCTATTAATTTTCCTCTCCACTGCTTAAGGCGGCGGCACGGTGTTGTTAAACATGACTCACGACAGGGAAAATAGCTTTTGTCGTGATGTTACTAAATTTAGCTCTCTTACTCACGCGCTCTAAACCCACTTCCCTCCCCCCCCCTCCCCTCCTTCTCCTCCTCCCTCCCTCCCTAGATGGATGTGAATTTGCTTGCTTTTACGGCTATTAATAGCTTGATTCCACCCTTGATGATAGAAGCAGCAATAACCCAAATTCGTGACCAGCCAACTTCTTTTGCGCACGGTATCAACAAATTCGTTTGGACGTTTTAATAGTTTAAAGTTCGAATGCAATAATAATTAAAGGAACAGATTTTGCTTTCTAGTCTGGAAATTTGAGCTACAACTAATTCTGGGGTCTATATCCATCTCGGAGGGTGGGGGGCTTGTTTAATTTGTTTTGACAATGTTTATTTCACTCTTCTTTTAAGATCTCAAAAATGTTCGTTTTGTTTTTTCTTAGCTCAAAGTGAGTGCTATTTTTTAATTTTTGTCTTCGCAACTTGACGCAGTTAATTTATTCCACATTCAAATATTCATTTTCAAAATAATTTAGTAATTTAAGCTAAATCTCTCAATAGCTCACATGTTTCCAAAGTTATGGAATTACTTCTTTCTAAATTAATAAATTGTTGGGCTACTCAGGGGTTCCACAGAATCGGGATGCAAAGTCATAATTTGGTGCATGTATTTGCCATTAGTTGTGTTCAGTATGTAGTAGCTGTAAATTCTTCAACCTGCATATTTTGAAAGAAATTTTAGCAAAACTCTTCCTGGAGTAGCTCGCATTTATGCGTTCCTTTCATCTATCTCTTGACTATATTGAAAATGAATGCTCTGGCTATACATATATATATATATATATATATATATATTAATTGATTTCCACTAATTAGTATTTGTATTGTTTTAAGAAATGAATTAACGAATGAGAATTCTTATCCTCGGAAAGCTGGAATCCATAATAATTTCTGCCAGAGCTATAAAGAAACTACTTCGACTCATCAAATAACGTGAATGAAATCTTGTTTGGAAATTAAGGATCATTCTGTGAGGCACCTACCATCTCTGGCATTCTGCACCTAATTATCGCTGACATCGTTGGCTGATCGATTTTATGAAAGCTACCTACTTATATCCTCTTTACCAAATTCTTAATTGATTTGCTTATTCAAATAAACAGGCTCTTTCCCCCATTTAAAAAGTACACATGACAGCATAGTGTTAAATGTCATGTCATTTAAATGTAATTCATGTTTACATCAACTTTCATTTACCCAGGTGTTTTCTGTTTTCACTTTAGGGATATACTTCTAAGGTTTTTTTTTGCTTTATGAAAGTCATTTTTCCCTCTATTATTTCTTCCAGTCCAGTGCGATCACTTTTTTCTGATTCGCTTCTATTGATCACTGTTAACTAATCTCCTAAGTTGTTTGCTGTCTCAACCTAATTTTTTTTTTCATCTCCCTCAGTTTCACCTCTGACTCGTTTCTCCTCGGCCTAAAAAGCGTCCACATGCATTCATTCACAGATATCTAGCCCTGTATTGTATCGGCATTACATCTATTCTCTTCCTACCAGTTTTTTTTTTCTAGTTAAAATCGTTTTCATTCTAATCTCAACGCCTTGTACTCTTTTCAATGCAATCCGTATGGACTTCAGACTTCAATAGTATGACCTATTCGTGTTGGATATATCTACATTTTTTATTCACCCTCAAGCTGTTTAATAGTGATATCGCGTGAGGGAATGAGGAAGTCTACTTTCATCATCGTCATTGCCTTTGTTGTT